ATACTTATAACTATAATATACAACATTTGTTATAGCGCCCTATCTAGCTAGAATATGCCTCTCTTAAACGCTTTACAGTACAATTTATACAACCAATACATTTAACATATACATCAATTCATACCATTTTTGAGGAATTTGCAGGGAGCTGCTTTATCAGGCGCTAACTACTGGTCCTATGCCACTTGGCTAATATCTCGTTATGTATATATGCCTGCGTGTGTGCTGGAGATGTATCGTATTATGTTTGTAGTAAGGCTGTGCTTCCAACGGCATAATTTATAGTGCCACCTCACTTGAATGCACAGATACCGCATCATCCACCCCAGACAATTACATACTCCACCTAGGTTATTGGAATTGTGTGGGCAGGAGAAAAAACACTTTTCCTGAATATTCGATACGTACGACGACTTCGGGGATCGAACCCCGGCGTCCTGTGTGGAAGGCTAGACTGCCCATGAATCTATCAAGTTTGGTACTAAATAATGAAAATGTTTCTTAATCAATGCTAATTAGTATCAAATGCAACTATGTCCTTGTACATTAGGGAAAGATCGGCTTCAGACGAATTTTACAAAATATTTCGAAAGACAACTTAACTTTGTCTGGTACCTGGTAAAGACTTCTCGCCAGCTGGTACACTAATAAACGGATATTACTTAAAAGTTAAAGTTCCATGCATCAACATAGATAACAAAGTTACATTTATCTGAGATAAGTCATTAGCATATTTAGCTTATTTCAATAAGTCATTAGCACATTTAGCGTATATATACGGACATCCGGCGTGTTTGTCGTTCGTTTGCAAATTGCACAATTCTTTCTGTCTTACTCATAAATGAAAGGTTATCTCATCCAGTCTCAAAGGTTGTGATTGGTTAGTTCAGCGCTTCCAAACTATAATCGTCATTCAGGTATAAGGGGCTAAAATCACCACTAGGGTCGAGTTACACTTGTGAGAATATGATATCGTTATGAGGAACAAACTAGGGTTAAATCAATATTCGGAAGGAAAACCGCGTGTGTTGTTCAGACGGAAGCAGCTCTGACACATGCATCACTAAATATCAAAGTTTATAAAATCTTTGTATCGATCTCTACCAAATACGGAAGGTATGTGAATTTCTAACGAATCAGAAAGCACGAGTTTATTTCGTGGACGAATCTATTCACGAGTGCGTGGAGCGCAACTAGTGAATATATACGTCCGCGCAATAAATGAGTGCTTTCTGATTCGTTAGAAATTCACATACCTTCCGTATTTGGTAGAGATCGATACAAAGATTTTATAAACTTTGATATTTTTTTGCAAATACCGGGAACTTTTCAGTTCGCCATGACAAGGGGATCCCCATAAAAAGTAGTTCCGGCTAGTAGGTAAAAACAACATTCCGTATTGCACATGTGCAATACAGAACGTTGTATTTCATGGTCTGAACATTGCTTGTATTAGTATAACAGATTCAACAGGAATGTGATAAAATGCATTATGTGATTTTATTTATGACAAATTTAAAAAAAAAACAGTGTTTTTTATGATTGATCTCCTGTTTCAATTATTAAAAAATAAAACAAATTTCATATAAAATCTTCACCGAAATCTTTGATGTATTTTCGTGGATTGATTATGGCATAAACATAAAACTAATCGCAAAGAAGATCAAAGAACAAAACAAGTGTATCGTATTAAATACGACAAAACTTGACTCGTACGGATTAATTACAAACCTGGTGAATCTTATTTCTAAACATTTTCCTCAGGTTGGTAAATATGGATTATGAGAAGTTCGTTTAACACTTGGTCGTAGATGTGGATTTGGGGTCCGCCGTGATGAACACCGGAAAGACACAGAAACCCAGGAAGTTAGGAAATTCACCAGATCTGAAAGAAAACAGTCCCAGATAAATAAATCGGCAATCACAGACCATGCCACACAGAAAAACCATGTGATTGACTGGGATAACTCCAAAGTTTTGGACAGAGAGAGCAATCTGTTCAAGCGGCAGTTAAAGGAAGCCATCTGGATACGCCGCAGTGGGCCAATTCTAAATCGAGACGAGGGGCTCAAAGACTCTCGCACATCTACCACCAAGTGTTAACAAAGCGTAGCTGAATTGAGTCATTTCGGTACATATATAACAACTATTGTACATACGTTTCCAGCGTAGCCGAAATCGACATCAATGTTATGGACAACTCGTACACATTTGACACTTTTATGTGCATACGCTTCATTGGTCATTTGTCTGATTAAGGTGACAGTGTACATGTCGTACTAGTCATCGAAACGTCACACAGAAAATTGTATAGGTTGTGTATAAAACGAACTTCTCATAATCTTGTGAATCTTAGTTTATATATGTAGCGATACAGCCTATTTCCATGCCTTTTATCATAAAGTACTTTTTACATACGTAGACAACATACTTGCTTTACTCCTCTCTGTCTTGAACTCGAGTTTATATCACTAAGAGTTAAGCCCGAACGGTTTCCCGAATTGTAGCGATATCTGAATATGGCGCCATTTTTCTGAAACGGCACTTTATCATTTTAAACACACAACGCAGGTTGAAAAAGTCAACAGAACTAAATAGCCGAAATTTTGACAAAACAAGAGGCACGCAAGTTAGCAAATTAAAACCGTCTTTTTATCTTTTTATTCATGAATTAAACGACAGTTTGTCAAAGTGACAAAGCGATATTTAAAAACTTAAACGAAGCTTTTATTTACAACGACGTATCGCCGTTCAAGTAAATGTTACATTGTCTTCGTCTCTGCCCACGCACGGTGGCCTTTGGTGATATTCTTGGACAATGTTCAGCACTAAAAGTTGAATATTCCTGATGAAGTATACTATGCAGGCTATAGATTTATTCAAGAAAAAAATAGCATTTGGTTTGAGAATACAGTTTTGGCCAGTTTAACAAATCTGTGTCTATACAATTTTATCATCAAATGTTTAAATATTGTGAAAAGGTAGCGGATGAAGCCATGCTAAAACATGAGTATTTCTATTATTGAGTGATGCTGTTTGATGTGGTAACCTTAGCTTTCACAAGTCTGAAATTTGGCGAAAAGACTTCTTCAAAAAATATTCAAACTTTTACAAATATGTATACGGTTTATATGTGAAGGTGTGTTGTGCAGGATGAATCATCTATCTATCTATCTATCTATATATCTATCAATAGACAATAATGTAATTATAACAGTGTAGACAGTGTGATGTAACATTTTCGTAGCAATCCACTCTTTTATCGAGACACAGACAAAGTAACTGTTTCGTGGTTTTTTCTGTGTCAGGAGCGGTTTGATCCGAAAATTTGACCTCATATTGTGTACACTTTTAGAATAACTTCCTTGCCCCTTATACCAATTTTAAGTAATTCGCATCCTACAAACATACATTTGCAAGGATCCAGTGTTATTTGGGAAGTTATCGATGATGTTACTTCTTTAACCCATATCTATAATTAGATATATATCAGATATGTCCTTTATGTTTGTGGGGCAGGCCATTATTTACTGTATACTGCTACCATAAACAAATATTATCTGTGACATCCGGTTAAACCATACGTGTAATATTCATTTTATTAACCTGGGTTCTGATAGATAACATAGGGATAATTATACAAGTAATCAATTAAAATTTCCACAAAAGTTTATAACTTCATTTCTATTGGAGCCTGTCAGTTCCCCACTATGGGTATTGATATCCAACTGGTGTAGTGTTCCATACACATACGTACCATAGTGGTTTCAATTTACGCATGTAATATCGCACTCTATGCTCACTGCCTAAAACTTGCAGAGATATAGAAATATGCATGTGTGTATAATTTATGCAAAAATCAGACGGAAATATGATATGTTATTTCATGCGTAAACCTGGCCCCCTTTTTAAGAATGCTCCTTCTCATAAGAAATAAAAAATAATCAAAACTTTACAGAGACTTTTCTTTTACTTCAATAATACTTTCTTAATGACAAAAACAAGGGTTTTACTTAGTTTTAGGAACGTTCGTTATATGTTCGTAATATGTATTACCTTACAATGTAACATAGGATATTTTTTCGTTATCTTGGTAATTACATTTTTTTTATACAAAACGTTAAATAAAGACTTTTGCCAAATTTTAAGATTAAGAATGTTCGTAAAATTCATAAACTTAAATATGCCGTAGGAAAACATTGCTGCATATTTTTCCTAAACATTACTACTACTTTCCTAAAGGAAAAAAAACAAGTTAAATGGTTTTGCTTTAGAAAAGGAAAGTTCGTAAAATTCAATAAGTAAACCTTACTGAAGACTTTCTTTGATTTCTATAATACTTCTTGAGGAAAATAATAAGTTAGAATTAAGCTTAAGATCGAATTCATTTGCTAAAACTTTGACATTATATAACATTACTGAAGATTGCCCCTAAACCTCGTTACCTATCGTATATACCTTCTGACACCGGTGTCCAAACAACTGAAAAGAAATGCAATCCAATAATAAGGTCAACATAACTAAATAGACAAGAACCGCAATGAACTGCAAGGTCTATTTTTAATCTCATTCAAAACAATCGATAATCATTGTAAATATTTAAAGCGCCAAACAATTATATAGACAACCTATGTATACGCCTGTTTTGCATGAATGGCTCACAACCCGGTAGTAAAATTCGTTTGTCTCTTAGGTAATCAAAGGCTGGCATGCGAATAGACCTATGTGACGATATGTCTTAAACAGGACGCACCTGTGAATATGCATTGTGAGCAATAGGAGAGGACATTTGTATTTGGACAGATCCTGCTATAGGAAAGCAAGAATAATATCGTCCACTAATGTTAGTGTTAGTCAGGACACACTGGCTAATGAGCGAAACGTAACATATATTTATGCTGGATCTATAAAATAGAAAAAGGCAATCACAAACAGGGTGGTTGATTGATATTTCCGATTTTATTGCTTTTGATATTATTTTACGGTAAATAGGATTCAAAATGGCGGAGTACCCATACAGCCGACATACGTACCATGCTAACGGTGAAAATACACCTGAGGACTACATGGATAATGATTCATTTGGAAGATCACTTGGACCGCACGCGGTGCAAGACATGAATACCGCGGATACAGACGCTGAACTAAACGCCAAAAGAGATGTGGAAAGGATGTTACGCCGCTCAGTGGTGTATACAGGGGCCCAAAGGGCTTCAAGAGCTAACAAGTTTAATCAGATCTCTGAAAGGCCAACCATACAGATTTCAGAAGAAAATGGACCAAAAATTAATCAACATATCTCTAGACGAGATGGAAATCGAGCAACGATGCCCGCGGGACAACTATCAACATACCCGAGGTTTGGACTGGGTATACCAGAAGCCGTTAAAAGCTATGATTTCGAGGAAATAGTTACTCAAAGATACGGCGAAACTCGTGGCCATGGCGAGAGAGAAGTTGATTCGGACAACGAGGATGACAAATTCGGCATGAGGAAGTTTCAAGCGGGAGACAACAACAGAAGGACGACAACGAATGGTAACAGAAAAAACAAGAAACAGATGAGACGAGAGGAACAATATGGACACAGTGACACAGACAGCGTCTTCAGTCGTAAGGTAGGTCAATGCCAATAATTAAACCCTCACCCTCCGTCAGTCCGTCCTAATGCCACTTTGTCCGGAGCATGTATCAAAAATTACTATTACCTTCGTTTGCCGGATTATTTATTTATAATCTTCTTTCATCTTATAGCAACGATGAAACAAGTTGTTTTCCCCAAAACGTATACCAAGACCAGATGAAAGTGTAAAAAATGTGGGACGAAATCACAGTACCCAGAGAAACTACCTGGTGGTTCAGATGACCAAGTACCTTTTAAACGTCAATCACGGAATCGAGCCCCGGTCGTGTTCGTGAAAGTCGAGTGCGCAATCCAGGGTGCCATCCGGTTACCTTTGCCAGTTTTCATAATACGTTAGTAGCTAACTGGATGGCGGAAGGCTTTCCTTATTTTTATACCAATTTATTAGGTAGGGAACTGTTTATTTCGCTATTCGATGAATGAACGTATGTTTACCTTATCTGGGATATATAGTAACCGATATTAATGTCTGCGATCGACAGAAGACTTAATGAACGATATAATTCAGCACGAGAAATACCATATAGTATGAAAGATAATCTTACCCTTCCGACACACCCTAGTTTCCTATCTTTTTCCGCTGAAGCGTTGTAATTTACTGTTAGTCCCGTTTGGTACTTCCCCGGTTTATCCTGCCGTATCGCGTTCGAAGCTCCAGTTGTATCAGTATTTACCTATAAGGAATTCAGTCTGAAGTAACAATACCTGACATAGATTGATCATATGAGATGTTAAAGTGGTTGGTTCATGTATGTAAGTAGTTGGTGGTTGTGGTAACTGTGGTGTTGGGTTGTTGATATGGTTGGTAAGTAGTTGGTGGTAGTGGTAATTGTGTGTCTGGGATGTTGCTATGGTTGGTAAGTAGTTGGTGGTAGTGGTAATTGAGTGTTTGGGATGTTGCTATGGTTGGTATGTAAGTAGTTGGTGATAGTGGTAATTGTTTGTGTTGGGTTGTTGATTGGATTTGTATGTAAGTATTTGGTAATAGTGGTAATGGTGTGTGTTTCTGAGGTTGATTGGGTTGGTATGTAAGTAGTTGGTGGTAGTGGTAATTGTGGTGTTGGGTTGTTGATATGGTTGGGATGTAAGTAGTTGGTGGTAGTGGTAATTGTTTGTGTTGGGTTGTTGATTGGATTTGTATGTAAGTAGTTGGTGATAGTGGTAATTGTGTGTGTTTCTGATGTTGATATGGTTGGTATGTGAGTAGTTGGTGGTAGTGTTAATTGTTTGTGTTGGGTTGTTGATTGGATTTGTATGTAAGTAGTTGGTGATAGTGGTAATTGTGTGTTTAGGATGTTGATATGGTTGGTATGTCAGTACTTGGTGGTAGTGGTAATTTTTTGTGTTGGGTTGTTGATTGGATTTGTATGTAAGTAGTTGGTGATAGTGTAATTGTTTGTGTTGGGTTGTTGATTGGATTTGTATGCAAGTAGTTGGTGGTAGTGGTAATTGTGTGTGTTTCTGATGTTGATATGGTTGGTATGTGAGTAGTTGGTGGTAGTGGTAATTATTTGTGTTGGGTTGTTGATTGGATTTGTATGTAAGTAGTTGATGCTAGTGGTAATTGTGTGTGTTTCTGATGTTGATTGGGTTTGTATGTAAGTAGTTGATGATAGTGGTAATTGTGTGTGTTGATATGATTTATATGTAAGTAGTTGATGGTAGTGGTGATTGTGTGCTTGGGATGTTCATGTGGTTGATAAGTAGTTGATGATAGTGGTAATTGTGTGTGAAGATATAGTGGAGGGGGTGGTATAGTGGTTTATATATGTGTATTTTTGGGATTGATGGGACTGTGTATAAACGATTCTTGTGATGGTATTAAAATTCAACCTATGCCATTTGAAATAGTTGATAAGCTGGTGCACGTGTATATTTGAGGTTGGTGGAATATGTTTGTTATTTAAGTTTTGGTTTGTGGTAATTACACATCCATTTTAGAGGGTTTGACAATTCGTACATCTTGAAAGGTCGAGCGTGTGTATATGTGTCAAAGGTTAAAGTGAAGTGATGTTTGCTGGGTAAATGAAGATGGATAGGCGGGATGCGACTCTAATTATGTTTTAAGGAGTGGGTTTTACACATGTAGTTGTGTGACTGACTGCACGCTTATCTAAGTAGAAAGGCTGTGGTCTCATGGTAAAGGTGTACGTGGAGTTAAGGTTGTATACTTTGATTAAGAGAGCGTTATCATTGTGTATGTATTTGAGGAGGAGGTTTATCATATGTCTGTATGTATGTTTGTATGAAGCGTTGGATTGTTACATACTATTTTGTTTCTGGTTTGCGTTTTCAGATTAATCAATTCAGGTGAAACGATATTTGCTGACATGTAAATACTATAACACACTTTTTACGGAGGTTTTGCATCCACTGTATAATCAACCCCCTCAAATTTCCGGTTCCCTCAAATAGTGAGAGAGTTTGTGCTACTAAATATAAATCAACAAACATTGTGTCTGAAACAAACTTTTGAAACATTTCCCCATCACAAACGCAGCATGGATTGCATAAACCTTCATTGTAGTACACCATATACGAGATAGCTAAACTAACTGGAAGGGTTACTATATGTGTATTGCATTGCTACATATACATTGTATAAAATCCTATCATTAAAAGCAATATCACATTTCCCTGTAAGATAAATAATTTAAATACCCGTTGATAGTGGAACCAACCGTATGGTAATTTAACTGTCTATATATATATTAGTTTTTGCCTGACTGACTTCAGACCCGGTAGTAAGTTACATTGTTGTTTTGCAAGTAGTAGTGATCATATATCTCACCGTATACACAGCAATAAAACGTTAAATTAATACTCCGATTTAGTCGATTTCTGGCCGTTGTTGAATTATATTGCTTGCTAAATTAACTCACATTTCTCCTTATTATCCCTAATTATTTTCATGGTCATACTACGTGTAATAGATTTTGACTAAACGGGTATATCTCGTTAACAAAATTCCAGCTCCATGCCTCTATGAATATATTATTTACTTGCAAATGATGTTTCGACTTAAGTCATATGATATATTTTTGTAATAGTTTAACGAATGTCAATACAAATATACATATCAGAAAATATAAACATTTTTTTCATGTTGTCTGATACAGACCATTTTAAATGCGAGCATATGCATATATTATTTAGTTTATGGTAACTATAATGATGAAAACATTGTAGTTTCACATTTACAATTACAAGTCGTTAAGTTGACAATGCTTGATACGTAGGCCATAGTGGCCATCTGGACCACACACTGACGGCCGTTCGAAACTTTACCCAATCATTATAAATCCATAGTTTTTCAAATCCCAATTACCTTACCGACACGTTCATGTTTCATTTATTATCTATTCATTTTTTTTTAGATTCAAGCTAAAATTATATGTATGGCGATTCAAAATGTCCACCCAATGACAATAAGTACAAAAAATCATGCGGTTTAAGACTCAACAAGCTATTCGGCTTCCAATACTCTGGCACCTAAATCTTTTCATCTTTACAATAAAAAGTAAATAGAAGACGCACAGAGATTAATAATGAAGATCATTTTCGTGAACTCAATGCAGCTAATCGGTAGTGCTAGAATTTCAAAAGCAGTTTGCATATATTATCATATATTATTCATTTTGTTTACATGTAACCGCCCTATCTTTTTAATTGTCTGCACATAAGAATTCATAGCGTCATGACAGTGAGTGTTATCAGTCTATCATCAACTAAATACGATATACAGGATCTTTGTTTTGCAACACAGTAATAGATATGTTTACGAAATACACCGACTTTCCTTGTAAATAAATACTAGACATAATCAAAACAAACAGGCATGCGTGCACTACCATTGTTAATGACTCATTTCGGAAACGTAAGTTTTCAAAATGATACTATCTCTAAAATCATTGCTGGGGTATCTGTTAATAGAATTTGATACCTCTATTGTCATCGATATTGATAAGCTGGGTAGGATAGCCCTATATATGTGTCTCATAACAATGCACCAGCACACCCTGCTTCGTGATGCTTTGTTCCTGTTCGGATTTTTTCATACAATGACCTTCAACATAACGCTATGTAAACAACTGCTGGTATTTTGTTTACCTGCAACAAAAAAATGCTCACTTAGCATTTATCGGTCATCTTTTCATTGATGAGTATTTGATGAACGCTATGGTTAATACTTTCTCGTTTAACGTCCGTGATCATTCTTGGTGGATTTCAAATAATATTTATGTCAATGTCATTCATGATTGGAGACTTTGACTTGCCATATAACATCTTCCACTACTGTGAGGTAATGGCAGAGAAATATCTCCGCCTTTGGATGATATTCTTGTTTGTCTAACCCGGATCTAACTCGAAGTCGAGAGATAGACATTTAATAATCGCTCCACGTCACCGTTAGAGAATGGCTTTTACTTCTATTAAATATGATATAGATTCCACAACAATAGTTATCAGGATTTGTAATTTGTTTATTTCAATTATTGTTTACAAATCTATCCCGTTGAAAGTTTTTTCCTGATACTATAATTAACTGTCACCGTGTCGTTATCTTAATATTTCTTCCTAAATCCTATCTACCAAACCCCAGGCGGTGACAGAGAGAACGTGCTCCCTGGGATGACAGAGAAATCGTGAACAAGTTAGATGGGCACAAGTATATTAATTGGTAGTAGAAAGGAAACATGATGAAGGGGTAAACTTTTTTTAAATACCCCCCCCCCCACACACAACACCACCACCACCACCACCACAACAACAACAATATTTTCCCTTGCACAGGTACAACATCTCATTAACCTTGTGCCTTATAATTTAGTCTGGCCTACTTGTCATCGCTACTGTTGACTGGTTTATCTTTCTATTTCATCGCAATGCGATTAAATTGTGATTATATTTCTCTACTTTGACAGTATGATGTAGGTATAATTGATTTTCTTTACGTGATATATGTAATGCTTT